AGTTGATGTATGGGACGAAAGACGCGCAACGCTCTGGGCAACAAGCGACTCTGCGTCCGCATCCTCAAATTTGTCTGCAGTTAAATAAGATGACTATTTTTATGTCGCCCAAGAACGTACTGAGGAGCAATGATTTTTCCATGAAGAACAACGAATTCGAATAGGTTAGAAAGGCCATACACCCTATTTCACGAGTATCCATCACGGGATAATGACAGCTAGTTATCTAGTAATATTTCAAAATTCCCAAATCGGCACAGGATACATAATTAATTTCGATGGATCGGTGAACTCCAGGTAGACAGACCCGTATTTTGTTGTGGTTCTTTGTGCGCTACAGATTCATTTTGTACGTCCTAAGAACTCTCTTATTTAAAAAAGTTTCTTTGCATACGAAAGAAACGCACAATGGCTGCTAATGACCATGACTACATTTCAAGTCAGGTAGGACGAAAATAAGATAAACAGTTTTTGACTATATTAATTATATGTACTTTTTAGAGCTTGAAACACCATATGATCTTAACGGGCATTGAAACAGCCATCCATTTAGTTCAGAATGTGTGTTAGTATATGACCGAGTGACTGGGAATTATTTTTGATGAGCGTCTCAAGCTCATAGCTCAAAGAAAATTATTATAAACTGTTTTCCGATCTTACGTCAGTTATATCTAAATAAGCAAAATCTCGATTATTACACTAAAAGAATCTTACGCGAATCATTAGTTAGGTCCAAAATTACTTATGGTAATATTGATATTGTTTAGATATACGAGGGCCGTTCAATAAGTACCCGTGTTTGGCAACAGAGGGCGTTCCTGAGGGAAGCTAATGTTATCATCGTGTGCTGTCATCTATCAAAGGATGGCACAACAAATTTCAGACTGATTGATAGGTTAGTTTAAATTTAGCAGCGATTCGAGTAACACGTGTTTCGTGATTTTCGCTAAGATGGAAAAAGAGCAGTATCGTTCGGTAATTCGCTTTTTGTTTTCGGATGGAAAAAATGCGAGGAGATAAAAGCAAAGTTGGATGCTGTTTATGGGGACACTTCGCCATCTATGACCACTGTTAGATATTGGTAAAACGAATTTAAACGTGTGTATGCCGACCTGAACGACAATCAATATTTTATATGATAAGTTGACTATGAAAAAATTGTCGGCCCGATGAGTGCCGCGACTGCTCACGGTGGACAACAAGCGGATGCGGCTGTTAACTTCGAAGTACTGTTTGGAGCAATTTAAGCGAAATACGAAGGAGTTTTTGCGTCGAATTGTCACCGTCGATGAAACCTGGATTCATCATTACACACCAGAAACTAAGCAACAATCAAAACAATGGATTTATTCAGGTGAATCTGCTCCAAAGAAGGCGAAGACGGTCCCATCGGCCGGAAAGGTCATGGCGACGATTTTTTGGGATGCGAACCGCATCATCCTCGTGTTTTAGAAAAAGGAAGACCGATCACTGGACAATACTATAGTGAGTTATTGGACCGCTTCGACAAAAAATTGAAGGAGGCACGGTCACATTTGAAGAAAAAGGTGCTGTTTCACCACGATAACGCACCAGCACATTCATACGTAGTTGTCGCCGCCAAACTGCATGAATTGCGTTATGAAGTGCTGCCGCACTACGCCGTATTCACCCGATCTGGCCCCCTGCGACTTTTTGTTGTTCCCTGACATGAAGAAAAGGCTCGTGGGGAAAACATTTAGCTCAAACGAGGAAGTCATCGCCAAGACAAGCGAATTTTGGAGAGTTCGATAAATCATATTTTTTGAGAGAGTTGAAAAAATGGCGGGAACGTTGGGAAAAGTGTATCTTTCTAAAAGGGGATTATGTTGAAAAATAAAATGAATTTTTTGGGAAAAAATGGTGTCTTCATTTCTAACATGGGTACTTATTGAACCGCCCTCGTATCTCTTACACGTTTGCAAAATTCATGTTGCAGTCTAACAAATGATTTGAGAAAATATGATCATATAAGCGGTTCTTTGACAGGCTTGAGATCGTTGAAGGTGAGAGAGCTATTTGAGTTAGACCTATTAACTTACACTCATAAGCTCTTGCTTACATCGATTCCCTCATTTCTAAAGAACAAGCTGATCCCTCGAAATTCTTTTCACTCACGGTTTTTACTGGGATGCTCACAATGATTCTTCACAATACCTCATCCTTTCATAAGTGTTTACATACAACGCGGTTACACGTTATAATGTGTGGCATTAAAATCACTAAATTACAAGCCATTTAAAAAACAAATTCAACAATTTAAGCGTTCATCAGTATAGTTTGACCATTCACTTCGCAAAATCATCGCTTTTCGCTTGTACAACTAAATTTTCAGTATCTACTGTAACTACAATATTATACATATAGGTATGTACCTACTTAGGTATATTATCTACATTTACATGTTTATCTTTAATTACTTTTTTGTACTTTTCAAGGGTTACGTAGCAGAATTGCTTCAAGATAAACTTCGCTCACAATAAAAGTACGTTTATTATCATCATTACTAATTTTTCAATTATCCTAAGAAGCTAAATTATTCGGTTTAACTAAACTGAATTTTCCGTAACCTATTAAATTGAAAGTAATATAATATTGAACTACTTTGCTTGAAAATAGCAAACCTTGTAGTGGAAAACCGGGTCAGTTTATCAGTGAGGAGATATTAACCATCAAAATATCAGCCACGCGCAGCAACCTAGTACGACCTGACACACTATATACAAGCGGTTGCCTGATGGCGTTCTTTACGCACACTTATCAAGATAGATAGTAAATGTTTATTATCTCTTTTTAGTTTAAAAAAAACTGACAACAAATTCAAAATGGCGGGAATGGGTGACACTACACTCGTAGCAGCGGGAGACCTAACTCGAGGGTATTCTCTCCCGCCATTAGGAATTATTTCTGTACAACGTGACCAAAAATATGTGCAATTAAGTTTTCAATTTCTGTTTTTTGCGTTTCTTACTAACAGCTAAACTATATAACTAGTCGCTATTCGCTGCTTGGTGGGGAATTAGGACGCTGAATACCACTCAAGTTACAGGTAAAGGTCGCCGATACAAATATATCGTATATAGATCATCTCTGTTCCCTGAAGGGAACTGCACACTGCTCAAGCCAATCCTTATCTCAACTGCTACTCGCTTTTACACACATTCATGAAATGGGTGATAGACAACGGTAGTTTTTCTGTTCTCTTTTTGAAAGTACTCAAATTTTGGATAAAATTCCGGCATTGCAAGTTGCATATTCAGGCATTTTCTATGTTTCATATTGGATATCAAAAAACGATAAGCTCATATCGTACGCCCATGGCAAGCAAGTTGTCAGCACAAAACATATATACTAAGTTGTCATACAGACAGTGGCAAGCAGAAAAGTGGGAGACTCAGTCGATGAATCTTCTGAGGTCTTCGCCAAAAATACGAAAATGTGTGATCTTAAAGCCTGAATTATTTTCATATTTGTCGCCGTTCTCTACAGATTAGTGTTCAGCGTAAAAAAGCACAGTGGAACCCAAAGCACACACCACTTTTTTATTTTGTGGGCCTTTTTGTAACTTGTAGACCACATTTCAAATAATGTATTTTGAACTCTCATTGTGCTCTTTCCATTTTTAACTAAATCTTATTCGGAAAAGGACTAAATGAGAAAAAAGCAGAAGTAGTTATACTCATTCCGCATCCTGTCCACTCAACGTTTTTATAAATTTACCCATTTCATTTTAATGTTAGTAGAAGTGAATAATTTTGCACTATACATACATGGGATTCCGGACTTCCCAATTTTGCCTTTAGATTCGTGTCCAGAGGGAAAAATACATGGAAAAAATATAATGAGACCCCCACTACACCATTTCATTTTTTTTTTTTGGACCTGTAGATCATTTCTATGCATTTTCGTGTTCAGCGTGGAAAAATGCATGGGAAAAACATAGTCGGACCCCAAGCACACACAACTTTTTTTATTTTGTGCTTAAAAATATATTTGAGCGAAGAATTCATATAGGTACCTGTACTACGAATTTTTAGACTCAAAATAAGTCAATTGGACGTGATTTATCCCTACGCAAAAGTGCTTCATTTACCGTTAGAGAATACATTTTTTCAGATATTTCATAACCTACAGTCTGATTTGAATGAGGTGTGGAACCCATGTGTTTTGCTAGGGCGTCCTAATATTTTACTTTTACAATAACCCGAAAATGTTTAAGAAGGATGAATAGTGTCACACGCCTACACAAATTATTACAGAATTTTTTCACACCTGCCCCAAGAACTCTGAATTTAAAATTCCACTTTGTTTACTTTTTTTTGTCTCTTATAAAAACAGGATATCTAGCACAGTTTTCGAGGAAACAAATTTTTGCGCCGCATTATGTGCAGGATAGAAAATGGTGGTCATATTGAACACCTTTTATGAAAGATTCGCACTCTTGCCTGTATTAAATAAAATTGTAATAAGTAATATTACATTTTGGTGCAACTAATTTTTTTTCCTCGAAAACTATTCGTTTTTTATGACGCAAAAAATGAAGTAAATAAAAAGACCAGTTAAATAAAAGAATCGGAATCGTCGGGTAAGTTGTTAAAATATTCTGCAATAATTTATGTAGGGGTGGTGGTAGTTTTTACACCTTCTTGAACCCTTTAGACTTTTTCGTAAAAGTAAAATATGTAACAAAACATGTGTGTTCTAAATTTCATTCAAATCGGGCTTCTAAATACATCTTTGCATCTTAAGAAAGTATTTTAAAAAGAACACTTTCACGCCCTCTAATTGACAAAAGGAACTCTTTAGCATAGAGGTAAATCATATTAAATCGACTTATTTTGAGTTTATAAGTACGTGGTACTTCTATGTCCACGGAATATTAGGACACCCTTTAGAGAAGTCAAAAAGATCAGGACACCACAAATTTTTCTATTTTGCTACGACCATACAAGTGGGATATTCAAAATGCATTTTTGTTGCAGATTATTCGTATTCAGATTGTAAATCAGACGAAGAAAGAAAGAAACGTCCACGGACAGCATTCACAGCAGCCCAGATCAAATCTTTGGAGGCAGAATTCGAAAGAAATAAATACTTGTCAGTTGCAAAACGGTGTCAGCTTTCAAAACAACTAAAACTTACAGAAACGCAGGTATGAATAAGGATCCAGTGGCGTATCTCACACAATCAGTATTTACTGTGGTGTACAGTCAGTATTTCCTGATCATTCAGTCAGCGTCAGTGCATTTCTGCGTAACCCGATACATCAATAAAATCAGTGATGTTCTGGCCATATGGTCAATAGATTTATTATGAGATTTCATATTCCATGATAAGTACTGGTGGATTCCGGTGAATACTGATCGTGTTTCGGCTCTATAAGACCAGCGATGACTTACGCTTGCGCCACTTGGTATTTTATTGACAAAACATACACATACATGCGAAATCTGCAGGTTCTGCAAAGCAGAACATTGCGCACTATTACTCACGCCCCATGGTACATCTCTAACAAAACACTTCACAGAGACCTCGATATCCCTTACCAATTTAAAATAAAATTAGTGCCTTTTGACAAACCCCTACAAAAATCCATTTTTCGACCAATGCCTAAACGCTCCGGCTCCCTGTTCTTTTCTTCTTCCTCCTTGCTCGTCCCTTTATGTTTTCGTTTCCTTCCTTGCTTCCTTAATATTGTCTGGTTTCTGAGTTACTAAACTGATACAAGAGTTAGTGTCCTACGGATCGCTCCGACAACGAACGATGATTTGACTTTATTGACTGATCGTGTATCATTCGTCAGAGAGTTTTCAAGGTTCATAAAAACTAAACATGTAACAGGTTGCCTCATATTCAAGTACAAAGCAATTTTAGAAGCATCACGATTAGTAACTTTTCAGATAAGAATAATTTAATAATATGAACGTCTTGAAAACTTTTGGTTAGGCTTTCAGGAAATATGGAAGCATTTTCAAAACATAATAGAGCAGATGGAGTCCACTACTTTTGCTAACCAGTTGAATTTTGCTTCCAGATAAAAATATGGTTCCAAAACAGACGGACAAAATGGAAAAGGAAATACACAAATGATATTGAATTGTTGGCACAACAGTACTACAGTTCAATGGGAATATTAACCCCTAGGCCAATATTTTTGGGGGACAGATTATGGTAAGTCTGTAGAAAATAATTTTCCTGAACAAAATCCAGATAAGCACTAATTCGTTCTTCTGGTCGTCAATAATAAATATCACTAATTGTGAAGGACTACCTTGTCTGACGTTTTTGCAGCTATGATACATGATAACAAAAGCAAATATAAATAACATTTTGAAAATGTTTTATTAGAAGTTTGAGATCGATTGTTTATGTATATCAAACAAGCTTGCTATTACACCCAAAACGTTACTAAAGCTTTTATTTTTTATTTAGCTTCTATAATCTGTAGATTATTCATTTTACATTTTACATCTATTTTAGGTTTTTTAACTACCCAGGTCAGCCAGGCTTATCAACAGCACCTCCAATAATGCCAAACATGCTGCCACCGCCACCTCAGACTGCTCCAATGCCCAGTCAGGTACCTCTGGCACATCCTCATAACCCTTGCATAAGAAATTATGTGGAATATCCACCCCCCTCTCTTCAAGAACAGCCTCCCGAAACGTCTCCCATAGTACAATTGCAGAACTTTGGAAGACACTTTGAAAACTCCTAGTTTTGGAGCTCAATAAAGGATGGAAGATCAAACCACAATAAAGTATGTTGTTACCGTTGGTCACAATACAGAATTTTTTTATTTTTACCAACCACTTACTGAAAAATACAGGATGTGGATGTGATATTTATCAAGGAAGGTACAGGGTGGTTAAGAAGTTTATAACATTGAGATTTATAGTAGTCATCTCAAGTAAATTTTGATCCATGAATCTGTGAAAACAACTTTGCATATGAAATAAATATTCCTCATAATCCTGTACAGCTGTACAAATTGTTTTTTCTCTTAGTAGCTAAAGTGAATGAAGCATGAGCATCTAGAATTTGTAAAAATATAATAAAACGTGGCTGTTAAATTTAATTACTGTTGGGTTACCAAACATGTGTATATATTTTAGTTAGCTGTATAATAGTATATGTTATTTAATATAAATTATGTCTAGTGTATATCTGCAATAAAATTTTTGTAATTTATTTGGTTCTTCACTCAATTGCTGACAGCGGCTATTAAAATGACGGTAGGACTGAAGCGTCGTCGTTCCCTGAACGTGCCATTATAACTTCTCCATCTATGGCAATTTCTGGGTATACAACCCTATAGGTGCCCAAGGATTGGTATTACATTTTTAGTACCATCTAAGAGGTGGAAATCAATAAAACTTGCAATCCTAAATCAATAGTTACCAATGAGCTGGTGAAATGAAGACTAACACTATTAGCAGCGTACTTCCTTTCTGACGACAGATCTGGATGTTATCACTGCTTGTACAGTGTCATACTTCCAAAGTAATACCGTACCTTTAACAAAAAGCGGCGTAGTGCTCATCCGGTTTCGATGGATGGTCGAGTTCTATCAAAGAGCCGTTTATTTCGGCTGGTCGGAGAACTTGATGTGGCACGAACACATCTTGTCAAAAGCTAGGCTATTTGTTTAGGGCTAAGAAGTACTTTGCTCCACACAACCTCCTCACTCTGTACAAGGCTCAGATAAGACCTAGCTCACATGTTTAGGGTGCTGCTGCCCCTATCAATGCTCGATGCTGTTGTTCGGCGACCTGTCCGACTGATCGATGACTCTTTTCTAACGGACAGTCTCTGGACCCTTCCGCACCGGCCGGCCGTCGGCGACCTAGCTCTCTTCCACCGTGACGCCAATGGGCTTTGCTCCTTAGATGATTCCGCCTCGCAATGTGACTGCCGACAGATCGGCCTCACATCAAAACCGTGTAGAAATTCGTACATCCAGAATTGATCAATACGATCGCTCCTCTGTCTCTAGAGTATGGAGATTGTGGAACAATGTACATGAGAGGGCTTTCCCAAGTTCTACTAACCCTAGTAACAAAATTTCTTTAAACTCCTCATAGCAGCCGCGGTGCCTTGGCATTTAGGCTTCTACCTGCGTGGCAGCTTGTGTAAAAAAAAGTGTGTACTACGCGTAGTTGAAACAGGTGGTCTTGCATAATAGGAAGATATTTTCCTAATTATAAATCATATATTACTTTGTTGAAATCATTAATGAAGATTATAAAACAAATATCAAAAAATATTTCAAGCTACTTGAGGTGAAGTTGGTATTGACATATTTAATGCAGAATTATCCATTGAGTAGTTCTGTTCTGATATGACACCATACAAGTCATCATCTTCATTCAACATAGCCAGCATTTTCTTTTTATATCTGAAAGGGGGCAAAAATGATCATTAAAAAACACATCATACAGAAAAATGGAAAAGACGTCTTTTGTCCATGGACTATGATGAGCTACTTACATTTCACTATCTGGATTATTTTCAGGATTCCTACATTTATCTAGTTTTTTGTCTAAAATTTTCTGTTGATTCCTGTCTGGTACTGCATCAGCAAGTTTTACCATAGATCTAATTCCTAAAAAATTATTATAAGATATTGAGATTTTTCGTATATTGAAGAAACAGCATTAAGCTGGCACTAGCGCGACAGGCACAAAGTTTGTCGCAATTCGATGGACCAGATACATGGTTAGCAACAGAAATGGTCTGTATGTGGAATGCAGGGGTGCTGGCGGCCAAAAGCATGAATTTAGGTGAAAGAGGATTAAAAAAAATTAATGAGAAAAAAGCGAGAAATATTGAATTTATATATAAAAAAGTGAGCTAATTAAAATAATAAGAATGTGTGAAAAAAAGAGAATAATTTATATAAGGTCTTTGTTACTGTTTTATTGTATAAGCATAAATAATTATTTATATGTATGCATATTTTAAGAAGAAATGCATACAATACATAAAAGAAACATAAAAATATAACAGTCTTGTAAATGCGGGAGACGTACTTATATCTATTAAGTATTCTTGCTCAATTGACTGAACCGACATTTTATCACACCAATGTTGAAAAGTTGAAATTTTATAAAGTTACTACAGATGAGTATTTTTAACACAGTAGTTGCCAAACTCAATCATCAGACCGGGAATCAAGTCAGACTTTTTCCATTGGTTTTCATGGCCACTTCCTTGCTCCAACATCAGATCATCTCCATGTCATAATAATATTCAATTGTCAATTGTCATACAAAACTTCGCCATATTAGAATGACGACACTTTGCTTTCTGGGTTTCTTTCATCAATTCCGTTCATTTGATATCCATAATATGGGGGTGACTAGGGAAATTATAAATCGATATTTTGCGGCAGCCGCCATATTGGATCTAGAGCGACCTCACGTTGCTTACTGTATCTCTCTCATCAAGCCCTTTCGGTCGATAACCATATCATAGGAATAACTATAGCAATTATGATCGTCAGTTTCCGGCGGTCGACATATTTGATTTTAAATGACGACATTTTGCTTATTGTGTTTCTCTCAAGCCCTTTCATCTAATGTCCACATTATAGGGGTGACTATGAAAATTATAAATCGTCAAATTGCGGCCTCTCTCATATTGGATTTAGAATGACGTCAGTTTGCTTATCGTGTTTCTCTCATCAAGATCTTTCATTTGATACCCATATCATATGCTATGGAAATGATGAATCGCCATTATATAATATACGCCAAATTAGATTCAAAATGGTGGCAGTTAATTCATTATGTATTGTGACACGAACCAGACAGGCATACACAATTTCAGCTCGATTTGGTAAGGTTAATTGGTTAAAAATTCAGTTTCAGGATTTGTCCCACACATGCATACTAATGAACTAACATACTAACAGTTACTTGTACAAGGCAGGAGGAAATGAAACGGTTCAGGGTAAGATATCGCCCTGTATAAGGGATAGTTGACAATACGTCATATTTTTCTCGTGAGAGTTTTCAAGTTTTTCAATAGAAAATCCGATTTAAAAACATGGAGATAGACTCTGGAGGTCACAGTAATGATCCCCCAGCGTCCCCGATGATGAATGGATCCAGCCAGAAGGAGAGAACAGAAATTACCATGAAATCAAAGGAATTGATGACACCAACTGTAGCAGACGAAAAGGACAGAACCATCCAGCGCCTGACCCTGATCATCGAAGGCCGGGCCCAGCAAATAAAGGAACTGACTGAGACAGTTAGGGACCAAAACAGTAAAATAGACTGCCTGACCACCCAGGTAGCACAGCTAATCAATAATCCAAACTTTAATTCCAAATCTGACAAGGCTGTCAATTTACAAAGACCTCTTGAAAATTTAACTGACGTGACATCGACCGACGATGAAATACAGAATGACGGATTCATCCAGGCCAAGTCTAGGAAAAGACGCATCGAGAAAACAAACAAAACCGACAAGACAGATGACTTTCCACCTCTTCCAAAAGCAAAATCCAAATTCAAGTTCACAGTCCCCTCAAAACCATCTGCTTCATTAAACGTATCAACTTCTTCTGCCACTTGTCCTATGACGGTCGATGCAGCGACGACATCTCAATCTTTGGCCACTGCATCGACTGACGGTGCATTATCTCAACAATCTCACGTTGCTGACCAGCACAGCACCCCGCCAAGGGCGAATCACGCCCATTGTTTTGCGTGATGCGGCCAAGTGGCGAAATCTAAGCTACACCTTTATAAGCTTAGGCATTAAGATAGAACGCGCAGTTGCCGTTGATGCGGGAATCCGGATTTTGCCGAAAACTGAGGATGACTACCGCAGAATCGTTCGCCTGTTCAGGGAGGAGGATGTGCCCCATCATCCGTTCCCTCTTCCTTCAGAACGAAATATTCACGCAGTAGTTAGAGGTATACCCGCAATGTTTTCGGAACAGGAGATCAAAGGGGAATTAGAACAGAGGGGATATACTCCTCTCTACATTATCCGACTCAAACGCAGTGGCGGCGCACTCATGCCTTTGGTGGTCGTGATACTGCCCAAGATTGAAAAGTCCCAGCAGCTGTTCAATGAACATGCGCAGTCTTACTGCACAGCACCTCCCAAATGTTTAAAATGTGCTTCCAACCACATGACACATTTATGCCCCCTCACAGGACAAGAGGAGCGAAGGTGTGAGAACTGTGGAGGGACGCATCCCGCTAACAGTCCCACTTGCAGATTCACCCCAGGCGAAATCTGGAAGTCATAGCGCAAAGACGCAGCAAATCATACACGGAAGCAGATGTCTCAACATCTTCGGTTGTCCCATCTGTTCAACTCACTTTGAACACGCAGATGTGGACCTAGCAACTGCGCTTAGGTCCCTTCAACAAAAAATAAGTCCCCTGATTAGCGCCACTCAGGCATTGCAGGCGATCTTTCCACAGCCATTGAATGGCTAAGTACAATAGACAACCTGCATTTATCAAAATTCTTTTTTTGGAATTGTCTGGTCCTAAGGGATATTCCCAAAAAACGGGAATTTCATGAAACTCTATTGGATGAGAGTATAGACGTAGCTCTGCTGCAGGATACATTACTTAATCCGGGAGATCGCTTAGCTTTCTCGAATTATGATATACGCGCTGACAGATTGAATGGTAGGGGTGGTGGCTTGAAAGTGCTCGTTAAACGTGGTATTGACTATCACAGAAGCACAAATGCCGAGATGCAAAGCATTGAAGCGGCGCCTGTGATAGTCAATATGGCGGGATGCATTCCGTTGAAGATCAACTCGGTGTATGTCAAGTGCGGCGCCAGGCTGCGAGAGGAGGCCTTGGAAGTCCTTCTGGACTATTCGGGCCCTCTTATTGCGACATGGGACTACAACTGCAAACACCGATCATGGCACTCAAGGCTTAACTCTACTTGTGAGGTTCGGCTTTACAACCATGTGATGCGAAACGGGTATCTTATTCACAGCACCGAAGAGCCGACACACTATAATTTCAATCACCTTCAGGCACCGGATGTTATAGACTTTGCAATATCTAAAAACTGTAGGTTCAGTATTGGAAACTCCTCCAAGGAAAAGAGTTGATTGGGAACTATACAAGTCATTTTTCAAAGAGTTTCCCAGCGTCCCGGTCATACATGATGAGAACGGAAATTGATGCTGCTCAATCGGAGTGGAGAAGTTTCGTTCACCAAACTCTATAGCGTGCTGCTGTGCTTCCGGTGCAGCGACACGGCAGACCTTTTCTCACTGCTGACATTCGTCGGAAAATTTCTGAAAAGAGGGCTGCGATTAAGCAAGCAAAAAGGTGTTGTCATCCTGATGACATTCGTAGAGCGACGAATCTCGTCCATGAAGTGAGAAATGCACTCCATGAATTCCGCAATGAGCAGTGGAGCGGCTTTCTGGCGGGGATGCTTGAATCAAGTATTCCTCTCTGGAAAGTGGCAAAATCGCTCAGAAACGGAAGGCAAGAACAACTACCACATATTCATGATCCTGGAGGTATAGTTTTCAGGACTGAGGATAAAGTGGAGGTTTTTTCTGACGTCATGGAAAGGCAGTTCTCTCCCAATTATGATATGGACAATGACCTTGACGAGGAACGACAAATTGTAAGATCTGTCAGGAGCTACTTCAAAGCAAATGGCGATACCAACATCGGTGCTAACATCGGTGACTCCTTTTCAGAAGATTCTTCTACGGAAGACTCTTCAGATGAATCTCAGCATAGCACATCAACGGAATCATCTGAGATTCCGTTTTGCACACCATCAGAGCTCCTAGGCCACGTTAAGGACCTAACGGTCAGCAGAGCTCCTAGACCACGTTAAGGACCTAAAGGTGCGTAAAGCAGCTGGAGTGGATCAAATCACCAACAAAGCACTGAAGTTGCTTTCGCTCAAGGCTTTGACCTATCTGGTGGCAATAATCAATGCAATGCTCAGAACTCATTACTTTCCTAAGGCGTGGAAGGTCGCTGAAGTCATCATGATCCCAAAGAAGGCAGGTTGGATATTCCCCCAGGATTACCGTCCCATTTGTCTGCTGTCAGCTCCTTCTAAGCTCGCTGAAAAGGTGATTTATCGTCACCTTGAGAATTTCTCGTCAGATCACCATGTGATTCCTGACGTGCAATTCGGTCTTCGGTCTGAGCATAGTACGGAGCTACAGGCAGTTAGACTGGTGGAGCATGTAACCAGGGGGTTCACCCTGAACAAAAGTACTGGTATCTCGCTTTTAGGTGTATCAAAGGCATTTGACAAGGTGTGGCACATGGGCCTCTTGTATAAGCTCATCCAAAAGGGTTTTCCATTTTGACTACTAAAACTGTTGAAATCTTTTCTAGAAGGAAGGAAGTTTCGGATCAAAATTAACAAACTGTTGTCAACAACACGGCTCGTAACAGCCGGTGTTCCTCAGGGTTCGGTTTTAGGACCAATCCTTTATTCACTTTATATACATGACGTCCCTTGCTCCAGCAACTGTGAAGTCTATCTCTATGCTGACGACACTGCATTGCTAGCCCAGTCTTATTCTGATAACCTGGTTCACGACAGGCTGCAGAGTGCGGTGGAGGAAGTATTGGAGTGGGCGGATCGGTTTAGGTTGATCAAAATTAATACTTCGAAAACGCAGGCAATCTATTGTACTAAAATACCATGGGAGCCATCCGTCAGGTATCTTGGAGTCATCATTGACAAGAGGTTGACCTGTCAGAAACATACGGAGATTTTGAAAACAAAATTCTAAATTACCTTTCGGCAGCTTTATCCCTTGTTGTGCAGAAATTCATAATTAAGTGTGATCAACAAGATTCGGTTGTATAAAATGGTCATAAGACTTTAAATTGTAAATTCAGACCAGCGAAAATTACTTCAGTATACAAAACCGATCAAAATTATTTTTTGGAGTTACAAAATCATTCGAGTAGTCAAAGCAATAATGCTTAAGCTATTTCAAATTATTTACTTCTTTTCTTTGCTCTATTTCTTCCTTCCTTTCTTTCCTTCTTTCCCTTTTCCCCTTAAATATGTTTGGTATCTAGGTAGCCAGACCTGACAGACTAACAGACCGACGAGACTTTTAACTAAGAGCAAAGGTCCACCGGACCGCTCTGCCGAATAATGACGAATAGAAGATTCCGGGTAAGTTCGTATTTTTTGTCTCTCTAAAACTATTCTGAATTGCTAAACTATCTAAGTAACATTTAATAGTTACCTAAATGCCCAACTTTGCCTTCATAAACGATTTTATATTGTATTGCTTACAGTTTCCAACTTGACATCCCTAGTGCATTGATATATATATATATATATATATATATATTTAAAGAGAGAGAGAGAGAGAGAGAGAGAAATGCTTTTAGCAAAACTGAATTAAGAGTCAACATAGATTTCAACTAATCCTAGTAATTTCTCAAGTAAGACATATTGGCTCAGCTTGGGGAGAACCATGTACATGGGCAACTTTGTCATAGTTAATTCACTTCATTTAATTTTGTGGGCCTTGAGAGAACGAGGACAGCTCCTTCGAAAGCGTCATACACTACAATATGTACAGCGAGAGCGAAAATAGTGATAAAAGTGAATGTTTTCAATGAAAATTGAGTAAAAGTGAGGTGGCTCGAAAATAGTGAGAAAAATTGAGTCGCCAGCATCCCTGGGACTGTACTCTGTGCTTATACCAATCAGTCAATTACGAAAGAAACTATGAATTTTGCATCACTCAGATTGATGCAGTCTGATTTTTACTTTCTTATACAGGAAAAATCATTATGAGGGAGACTAGACATAAAAAAAAACAAAAAATAAGCCTACCTCTAACAGCATCTATGAGGTCCTCCAATTTCCCCCTACCGTCTTCCCCAAACAATGTATCAGTCACATATGAGTCTAAATTTTCTTGTAATTTTGAGGCAGCATGTAAAATTGCTGCCAATGCTACTTGGCTTGGAGAATAAAGTAGAACAGCATCTGTCAGTAGCGCTCTTTCTAAGAAATGCTCCGTTCCTGGTCTAAGTCTTTCAGGATCATGTAAGGAACAGCGAGTCTGAAAATAGAAATGAAGATTGAAGTAGAAATAGCAAATTCATATTTTTCCTATTCTCCCTTTTGGGAAGATGTTGTCTCAGAGCAGTGTAAGATCTTTGGCAGATCCTTACTTTGATTACACTGAAGATGTTTTATGTGATTTAATGTTTAATCTGTGGACAAACATACACTCGTTTTTACTGGGTTATATTCCTATGGTAGATTTCCAAGGGCGAAGAAAATGGAATCAAGTTGATTGACTCAGCAGCTTCTATCAACAGATGATGGCCAAAATTGCATCAGAGGTATTGAGTGGGGTAGCCTTTCTTTAAATGAAGTTTGTTTTCACCACTAGTTGATTGACTTGGAATGAAAATATGGAAATGATTAGTACAAACCTTTATATCAATCAGTAATCCCTCCACAGGTCTGAATGGATTGTGAATGGAAAGATGAAAATTTAACTGCTCCATCAGTAATAGTTCATTGTTTAATATAATGTCTGTAGCCTTCTCTCTATCACCTTTGATATTCGCAACAAATTGTTGGATTGAAACATTGAATTCTTCTACTTTACATGCTAGATATATACAGGTAACCCTTGAATGAAATAAAATTTATTATAAATAACATTTGAAAAATAATTCAATGGAAATAGCAAACTGTCATGTAGGTAATGAGATATTTTATAATTTATTTTAGGAGATTATGGCAACATTGATGCGCGTAACCTCTATCTTCAGTCAAATCGACCCACCATCTTTTTCTTGATGGAGACCAAAATCTTTGATTCTGCCTCGACTAACCATCGCAATTTTCCGAACTTCGAGGTGCATTCCAATCAGAGGGGGGAATGGGGGAGTTGTGGCTTTTGTCAGCAGCAGCCTCGCCTGCTCCAGAGATGCCACGTTGGAATCAGATTGGAAGAACATTTTGTGGCTTCAACTCACCTCCAAACCCTCCTCCAAGTTTGCTTCCTGTCTCTATCGCTCTCCATCGGAACATAAGTGTGTTGGTCTATTTGAATACCTCACTGTCAAGATCGATTTCTTGAACATCAATCACCTCACTTCAGAGGTAATTGTCCTCAGTGCCCATAATGTACCCTGGTTGGGCTCAAAAAGGACTGATGCTGCAGAGCGTACCAACGAAGTATTGGCTATTAGCCAAGGACTGACCCAGCTAATGACTTACTTTTTGCCCTCGCGTTCCATCACCCGCCAAGTCTGCTGGATCGCTTTATCAGCAATTCTGTCACTGTCTTTAGAGAACAGACAAGCCGACGTCCTATCTTTCAGTCAAAATTGCTTAATAATTTCACCATATTTTCCATTCTAAAAGCTACATGTTTAATAACTTTGATACAAGGTAAAAGATCATTCTGAATGAGAAAATGGATTTGTTTATATTAACATTATAAGTATTTATATTGGACCACATAACATGAGTAGTAGTGAGCGATGAGGCAAAGTTAAAATGTTTAGCATTGTATATTTAAAGTCGTAGTCTCAACCATATCTGTTCAAACTTTAGAGGCAAAACTCAAATTTATAAAAAAAAGTTCTTTAGACGCTGTACCTGCTAAAATGGCAATTTTGGTATTGCAGTACCTTCAAGATACCATGAAACAAGTTAAAATAACAATAAAATATTGTTTTTAAGGAACATAGAAGTATTTGCAAGTTCTCTATTATTTTATAACCTGCAAATATTGCAGTTACAAGAGGAAGTGATATTGGGTAAATAGCTTAATCATTGAATGAGCAAAAAACCTATAAAACATTCAAACATTTCAGCATTAAGGAAGTAAACACATATCTCAACATGTGCAGGGATATGCCACTACTATAAAGAATCAAATACTGATCGATAATATCTCATTATTCTGTGGCAAATAATTAAAATGGGATTAGTATTTTTTTTTACTTATGACATGTTTACATACTTATAGCTATAAGAACAATTAATCAAAATTGTATATATATGCTGGAAAGACCATTAAGATCACAAACAAAATTGAGGCTAGGATCAAATACATCTATACCATAACTATCTAAAACTGTAATGACTCATCGATGTTCACGTCAACATCAATCAACCACTGATAGTCAGGTTGTCAGTGGCGGGGTATGAATTTTAAATGTGGGTGACCTTGATTTCTTTTGTACGTTTAATAAAAAAGAAATGGTTTGAAAGAACTTATAGATCAGAAAATTGGAGATTACCCTTGTCAGTTTTTTTTTGATTATCTATGAGCTAATTGAATCTACCTCTCTTCATTCGTCATCGCTTCCACTTCCATTTGAAAGTAATAAGCTGTCGCTATCGCATTCTTCGCCAAGATTGGCTATAACTGGCTCCATCATGGTGTCAATGTTATGGTCAAGCTACCATATTTTTGTTTCTTCCTTCACAACATGACGGCAGCATTCTGCCACGCTTCAGGTGTTACTGGCTATATGGAATTCTCTAGCAAAGCCTTGACGTCTGGTTATTTAAAAGTTGTGTTATGGCGCGCAAGATAACCTTCCACTTGAGCCCAATATCAGTTGACAATAGTCGGTAAACGCAGCACAGTGACACCACAATGACAGGCCATCTCATCCACAGGTAACTAATGTTCGCAGGTTTGTTATGTTTAATAGTTTCATACAGTTCCGCTTTCACACATGAATTGTCAAACGGAATGCCCTTTTCACGCAACCACTGCTGCATCTCACTCTTTCGTGACCCCATATTTGGTACACGTTCGGCTCGACGACTGTGGTAGTTGGGTTCAACTCGATGAAACACCCCTTGAAACCAGCTCTCGAAGCAGCTGGCATTCGTTTCGTCATAGTAATCACCTTTTTTCTTAGAGACGAAAGTCAAGTTGCATCCCTCTAAAAAGCCAGTATCGCTGCGAATATGTGTAACGATAAATCTTTGACCTTTACCTGATAGTGCACAAAGACCTTTTAACAAACCTTCGATGCTTGCTTGTCGGTTACTTAGTTCATTTTTGTCTATCGAGGATTTTTTAACTGTGTGACCTGCAATTACCCACGTCTCGTCCAAATAATATATTTTTCTGCTTTGTCGTCTATATTCAGTTATTGCGCGTAGGTATTTTCGATGCTACGCGACTATTTCAGGTTTCTCTATCAAACCTGATTCCGATTAAGCGTTTCGAAACAAAAATTAAGTTCGTGCATGGTTTTCCTTAATACTTCGACGCTCACTCTTGACCTTTGAATGTATAGCCTTGGGGGTAGATATCTCATTCCAATAAAGAATGAATGTGCGGTTCGTCTTAACGCCATTTTGCTGGCACCATTTAGTTTAATGGCGTTTCGTCGCTTCAAATGGAACTTTGGATCAGCATTAGCTCCAGTTTTCTTCTGTTCATGCACCACCCTGCGAACAGTCCACTCTGGAACTCCTGTCATCTCCTTGCGACATAGTCTTGTTCAAATAATGAACACGTTGAGCACGATTTCTTTCGCGTCCTTTTTCAGTGCCTCACAAAGCTTTCTAGTTGTTCCCTGGCTTCCAGTACTTGCACTCCCACTCTCACCCTCCATGGTTAAGGAAATATAAATATAAACCGAACAATAACAACAGAAATAACCAAATAACAATTCATCTAACAACAAACAATATCACGCGGTAACTAGACTCACAACGAAACAAGTTCCAAGCACTACTAGCCAATGTATCGGGCCTTGTAGCGTGGAAGCGTTGAGGCGTCATCTAATCTCAGGATCGGAATCAGTTTTCATTCTTCCTTTCAGTTTAATGATGGTAATATTCATGCGCGTTCCTTACTTTTAGCATGATTGTTGATTTTGACTGGTTTTATTACAAGTAGACGAGCTCATCACTGGAAAAACAATTGATTTTCAAGGTCAAAAAATCATCTTGAATTGAAAAAAGTTATAAAATATAAAATAATAAGATATTTCCCAAAAATATGATTTTATTATTTAGCCCACAGCTTCACCCGCATGATAGTCAATAGTGTTACAGGCAAACAGGATGCCGCGCGGCAAATGCTATTCGTTCATTGTTCAAGTTCAACAGCTGAATCGCAGTGCAAAATCCTCACTGAGTTAGCAAATAAAGCCGACTATAATTTTCTCGGGATAATAAGTATAACATGGCGAATTTTCACGGGATTTCGTGTCTCATGGCGATCGAACAAACTTACTTGAAAGAAAAAAAATTGACAATCACCTGAGCGGGGTGGAATGGAATCCCAAAGCTCAACCGCTTGAGCAAACCAAGCCATTTGACATCCGTTCCGAAACAGGCAAGGACCTAATAAGGCAACCAGAGGACGATTGAAAATGACTATTTTCTCATGAAAAGCGTTCCGCGGATTCTTTTAGACCCTTATTTTCATAGTGCAGAATTTATGTATGATCCACTACTTACAAAGAGTACGCAGTTAAAGTAGCAGATTGCTATATGGAAGATTTCTCGTTTCTCCTGTGAGCATAATATAAAAATTTAAATTCTAATAAAGAAATGAATCAAAATGGTAGACCCATATTTTGCCAAATTTTTTTTATTAACATACCTACTTGTATTTTAATATCTCAAAGTTTGTCAAGACGATTGTGGGATATATTGTTACCTGAACAAAATGTGTATTATTTAGAATGAACACTCAGAGTTTAGAATAGCATCCTGTTCTTGCCTGACGCCTCTTGACAGCCGTTCTGTCGCCCGGCGGCGGTCAGGCTCTGATCACGTGTATGAGTCATTACAGTTTTAGATAGTAGTTACAGTCTAGCCCCTGGTAAAAAAAAATTAGGTTGGTTTTATGTGTCAAAAAAAATGTGCAGGGATATGCCACTACTATAAAGAAATGAATATAGATTAATATCTGCCAGTAACAGTTCAGAGTGCATCTATGTTTTGTTAAGTTTGTGTAGGCTCTTTTAAATGCTAAAATTACAGATTTGCACATATATTTACTTTAGTAAAAAGTAATTATGTGCAAATCTATCCATTCCCACTAACTGTGTAAATGAAGTAGGAAAAATTGATGTTACTTACATAATCTCTTTAGGGTGATAGTTCATAACAGAATTATTTATGTAGAATCTCTTGAAGTAGTGGAAAGCAGTTCCAACAACACATCTAGGCATAGCAGGTTGAAATCTTTTGCAGAAGTCCCTCAGGTGTAATTCATACCTTTTTACCATAATTTTTTCTTCTTCGGGTGTCAAGAAAAAATCATATTTTGTAGCTGGCTAGAAAATAGTTTATTGGAAACTTTGGGACCTAATATAAAGTCATTTAAATGTAAACAGCAAATCTGGCTAGTAACTTCCAAGTATAGATCTACTTCTTGTAAGACTCGCTTAATAATAATAAAAAGTAATTACATCGATATTCTTTCCGTAGACTTGAATATGTTTTGCATTGGCTAAATCCCGCAATTTATTTAGTTCTTCTTCACTACTGAACATCCAATGTTTGCATTGAGTGCTTGCAGCAAACATTTTATCACTCACATACAAAAAGGTGTTTGAAAATTGTTTTGATTTTGAATGTTTTTTGAGGTTATCTTTTTGACATTGACAGCATACGCTATACAGCATTACTACGGGCATCTGTTGGCGGTTATGTAAAGCGGAGGATAAGCATTTGATTAATAATGTTTTATGTGGATGGAAAACTGTTTCGAGTAAGGTGGCGGCATCTATCGTCACAACTTTTAAATTATGAGCTTATAGAAGCTATGCTGAGATGCCACTAGTAACATCAATCGAAGGTCCAAATACAGGGTGATGTAGGATGAGCCTGCTGCTATGTTAATAGGGGCCCGGGGAATGGTGAGTGTACAACCGCCTACCACAATGTAAATAAAATTTTCAAAATAAGTAGGGGTGGGGATGCTTTGGAAAAGACTGGTAAGCTAAATAGTTGGCGGCCCCACAGTACGTATGCTTATTTTGAGTTTGGTATCTTCTGGGGAAATATGTTAATAATGATATTTACTTAAGATGAGACACCCATGCGCATGCGATCAGTCTATGTGTTTCGCACACGTGATGTCACCATGTGACAATACTCCCGGAGACTAGACGGGTAACAAACGTTCACCTTTATATATGGCGCTATAGCAAGTAGGGTAGACTGGGTACGGTTGAAACATTTTAGCGTTTATTGTCCATAGCATCGGGATTAGCTGAGCGAGCGATATCGGAAATATGATAAATAAAAGACCATATATTTGTTTACTAATAGGCAATGATATTTGAGATCACTGTTTTGTATTTTATCTGTAACATTAAATTAAAAAACAAATGTAATTTGTTTCAACCGTCCCCATGCCAGGGTCGGTTGAAACAGTGCCTGGGGTCAATTGAAACACATACAAATAATACGAAGTATAGTAAATAAGGATGTTTTATTAATCATCTAATAATATTTTACGACTCGTAATGGCACAGTTAAACATCAAAAATATATTTTCAATAATATTCAAGTCTTTGACGATACTTACAGACTAACAGTAAAACTTCAAAAGATATACTTTTCGATGAATAGATTAACAAATGACAAAACAACAATACTTTTTGTTAGAGAATAAAAATAAACAGTTTAAAACAAAAACTTATCCTTATTTAAGAAAAATCCTATTTAAGAAAAAAATAAAGACTTATTATTTCTATAAAAATCCATATTTTAAACAAAAATATTAAAGTGGTTATGAGATCATTCAGAATCACAATTATGGCAAATATAAATAAGACTACCTTTTGTGCACTCTTCATGCGCCCACATTTTACATTCTGTGCATTGTATCCACTTTTCCCTCGGTCTGCTTTCTGAATATGCTGACACACAAACAAGACAGTAGTATTCCTCTTCTTCTGATGATTCATCTTGCGTGATATTTTTTTTTCTGTTTCTAACATTTCTTTTCGTCTTTTCCTCTCCATCTAATCTTTTCTTAACTTGCTTAGCTTTGGTTCGTTTCAATCTGTTTTCATGTTCTCTTCTTATCTCTTCTTTCTCAGGTGTATCGGTGTATATTGTGGATTTTCTGGTTTTTCGCCCCCTGTTTGTTGATTTCCTTGGAGGAGCTTTTGGTAGTGGTCGTACTGCTTCCGGTGAAAACAAAAGTGTTGTACTCGGAGACGGGATATTTTTCGTTTGATTTGACAAGACAGGAATGGATTGAGAACTTGTAGAGGGTTTTGGTGAAATTTGCTGAACAATATCAGTACTTTGATGTCCGGGTAATGTAATCAAAGGTTCTGGATCTGCAGTAATATTTTCCTGTTGTCTGTCTGGGACTTGTGAACACTGTGACATATTTGCAGTCAGTTGTTGTACAGAAAGAGCTGTATTAGAAAGCTCCTCCGACATTTCTGGTAGTTCAGAAGGTGATGGTGTTGGTGTTTTATCCTCAGGTGTGTAAGTATTCTGAATATGGCCATCAGCTGCCTCATTTGTATTCGTATTTAGAGGATTTGGTCTGTCTGTCACAAATGCAGGTGCAAAATCGAGTTCACTAAACAAATGCCGATTAAATGGAACAATCCCAGTTGTGCGAAAACCAGCTTGAATGTTGGATTGTGTAAGAGCAAGCGGCATAGCAATACCTAAAATCCCTGGGATGTCGTATATTGACATTGTCTTGCCGGGATGACTTCGCATCCATCCATCACAGGTCGAATTTATAGCTTTTTTCAGCGGACCGAATACAGATCTATCAAGCGGTTGGAGTTTATGTGAGCAGTGGGGAGGGAACGATAGCACCACAATGCCATTCGTCTTGCAAAAGTCTAGAGCATTAATATGAATATGTGAAGAGTGGTTATCAAGTACAAGTAAGACTTTATGTGAAGAAGAAGCATTTGTATGTTTCTTGAAGTGTTCCAGGAAATGAATAAATGTTTCATCCTGCATCCAGCCAGAAGGATTTGCACTGCCAGCAGATCCTATTGGTCCATCCCTGATAAAGTGGTCTTGATATCGCACTCGCGGAAAGACGAAGAATGGAGGAATAGCATTTCCGATGGCATTAACTGCAAAGGCAACTGTGACTAAAGTACCCCTCTCACCTGAAGTCACTGAACCTACTTGGCGAGCACCACGTCTAGCTATTACTCTGTCGGGTTTTTGCACAGTAGTGATGCCAGTCTCATCAACATTATATATATTTTGTGGCTCAAACTTATAACGGTCCATAACAGCACTCAAATTGTCGTAAAAAGCATCTACATTATTTCTATTAAAGCTAGTCGCCCTAGAAAGACTTGTAGCCTGTGCTACACGTACTGAAAGTCCGGAATTTCTTCTCATAAACATTCGAAACCATTCGTCGCCAGCCATTTCGTTGTCATCCCATGTCCGAGGTCGTGATAAGTCGTACTTGATTGTTAGTTCGTATGCCAATTTCCTGACATCCTTTTTAGTTAGGCCAAAATAGATATCTGCACATCTAGTTAAATAATTAGAAAGCTCACGTTCTTGTTCTTGGTTAAACACTCGATTGTGAGCCTTATATCCCACTTCTTGATTTTCATCACCACCAGCCGCATCTCGTTTACGTACGTATCTAAACAGGGAACAGTGGTTCAGCCCATTCTTTTCTGCCGCTGTTCTTAAAGAAGATCCCGCTTTCACATCTTCATAAGCTTGTTTATAAGTCGATAAGTCAGCCTGGCCTCTCGTAGTCTTCCTTTGGCGTACCCTTGGCATCTAAAAAACAAGACAATCAAATAAATAAGCTGTTTCAACCGTACCCACAAAAAATGTTTCAACTGTCCCCATCCCCCCTTCTAGGTATAAAACGGCTCACAATAGGAATGATAATAAATTTGAATAAAAACTCATCATACTACCATATTCTACAAACTTCAATTGCAACGATACAAAATGCTCAATACTTTAGCTTTAATCAAAACGATAATAATTGCAAAAATGTACGAACAAAAATACTTACTTTACCGCCAAAAAACACAATGGTGTCCCCTACACACAAGCACAGCGCGCGAAGAGCAAAATAATACTGAAATTCGTGTTTCGACTTGTCGTCTGCTCCGATCTTCTTCTGTTTTCGTCCCCCACCATGAAAGGCTCGCGAGATATTCGCTTTGTTTCAACCGTCCACCGTTTCAACCGTACCCAGTCTACCCTAATATGTGATTAGTTTCATTAGTTTGTCATTTGGTGTGTTTCAAATAAGTCTCTTTATGAAATCTAATTAAAACATACTGGACTAGGCATTCAACTACGTTTCGAAAGACGTTTCTTCAGTTTTCCAAAGAACAAACAAGTTTGCAAACAATGAGTTCTGAAGTGTTAACAGTAACACACATCTAATAATTCGTATGTAAATGTAATGAACTTGACAATATATTTGACAATTTCAACGCAGATTTTTTAAAATTGATCAAAAGTTATTTAAAATCGGTAAAGGATTTAGCCACGCCTGTTAGAATGAGTACAAATTCCAAGCATCTTTTTTGAAGATGTGAAATGTATATCTATTAAAATCACTATGTTAGATAGAGATATAAAAGAAGAGTCAAATTTTGGGAAGAGGAAAATGATGAAAATTGTAAAATAAAGTCAATAAAACCCTTTACCAGTACAACATATTTTCATCACCTACAGATAAAAAAATTAAGAAAAGATTTGCATTGAACAATTTATACAAAATCATAACGATGTCATTTACATTCTGTATTTTGTTCTCCATTCTTTTTCTGTATAAAGAGTTAATATATCAAATTAATATACAGTGAGATTCAAATTTGGCTGAAGAGAGAGAAGCGCGATAAGCGTGCGATATGTATGTAGAAAAACTTCGCCGATGGCTTCCGTGACCTCGTACTCGGGCTGCTAGGCAACGAGGTGCTTCTATCTCTACCTAACATACGTATTGCACGCTTCTCTCTTGTGCACATGACGGCGTCAGTGGTAATTGGTTTCCAGTGATTGTCACTGATGCTCAAAGGTAATATTTGAAACCAATTAATTTCGATAAAAAAGTAAGTCCCTTTATGTGGGGATCCAAAGACATTTTAGTTTGAAAAGCTACAGGTGCATTTTTATTGATTAAGCCCTAAGACATTTAGAACCTTCAACTTGTGTATTGGTTATTTTCCAAAAGTGATAACTTTATAAAGATAACGTAGGTGTTATGTCTTTAATGATATATATAGATACTTCTTTAAATTGTATTGGAAAAACATCAAGATATTAATTTAGTTATTTACTAGTACTGAAATTATCCTACAAAATCGATAACAAAAAAAAGTGTTAAGCAACTATTCCAAATACTGAATAGAAACCATTCTAATACCAAGTAGGTATTTCGTGCCGGTAAGCGGAATATTTGTCACCAAGTGACGACATCTGCAAAAAAATGAGCATATCTTCCCGAGTTATGGTATCCTGATGATGTTAATCAATGCTGAATATAATACAGGCTCTAGCTTGTGACAGTCCAACCTTCTTCATAGGAGCCAGCTTTTTTGCTTTCTGACGATATCCGAAGTACTAAAAGGGTAGTCTTAATACTGGGTTAGTATATAGTGTAAACTACGTGTATATTCTCTAGGTGTGGATTAATTAACTA